CATCAAATCCAGCTCTCCCATCAAAACCACTGGGCACATACAAACTATACAAGGATGCTCCCACATAAGGACACTGAATTAGATAACTGTTTCACCTAATTTCATAGAAAGAGAGAAAGTTAAGCAAAATGAGAAGACAGAGGAATTGGTCTCAATAGAAAGAGCAAGAGAAAACACCTAAAAAAACAGAAAAATGGGGCTTCCCTGGTGGTGCAGTGGTTGAGAGTCTGCCTGCCGATGCAGGGGACACGGGTTCGCGCCCCGGTCTGGGAAGATCCCACGTGCCGTGGAGCGGCTAGGCCCGTGAGCCATGACCGCTGAGCCTGCGCGTCCGGACCCTGTGCTCCACAACGGGAGAGGCCACAACAGTGAGAGGCCCGTGTACCACAAAAAAAATTAAAAATAAACAATTCACCAGATAAAGAATTCAAAGCATTAGTAATAAGACTACTAATTGAATTAGAGAAAAGAATAGATGAACAAAGTGAGAATTTTAACAAGAAACTGCAAAAATAAAAACAAATTTAAAAAATGAGAACAGTTTAAGAGATAACATCAAATGTACCAACATTTGCAGGAGCCCCAGAAGGAGAAGAGAGAGAGAGAAAGGGGTTGAAAATGTATTGGATGAAATTACGGCTGAAAACTTCCCAAACCTAAAGAAGGAAATGGATATACAGATACAGGAAACACAGAGGGTCCCAAAGAAGATGAATCCAAGCAGATCCACAGCAAGACATATCATAATTAAACTGGCAAAAATTAAAGATAAAGGCAGAGTTCTAGGGGCAGCAAGAGAAAACCAAAGAGTTATACACAAGGGAACCTCCATAAGACTACTAGCTGATTTTTCTGCAGAAACTTTGCAGGCCAGAAGGAAGTGGCATGATATACTCCAAGTGCTGAAAGGGGGAAAACCTGCAACCTAGGATACTCCACCAAGCAAGATTATCAGTTATAATTGAAAGAGAGATAAAGAGCTTCTCAGACAAGCAAAAATTAAAAGCATTCATCAATCAATACTAAATCTACCCTAAAAGAAATGCTAGAATATCTTCTCTAAGTGGGAAAGAAGTAAAAATCTACAGGAAAGGGAAAATCCCACTAAGAAAGACAAATATTTAGTAAGGACTGAGGATCAACCACTTAAATAAACTACTATGAAGATTAAAAGACAAAAAAATTATAAAAGCAACTATAACTATAATAAACAGTTAAGGGATAAACATGAAGGCGTAAAATATAACATCAAAAACACAAAATATGGGGGGAGGGGAATAAAAAATGTAGATCTTTAGAATGTGTTTGAACTTAAATGACCACCAGTTTAAAACAAGTAGATACAGTTGTAGGTCAACATATATGAAACCCATGGTAACCACAAATCAAAAACCTACAACAGATACACAAAAATTAGAGAGAAAGGAACACAAGCATACCACTAAAGAAAATCATCAAACCATGGAGAAGAAACAAAAAGAAGAAGAAATTAATAGACAAGAGCTACAAAAACAACTGGAAAACAAGTAATAAAATGGCAGTAAGTACATACTTATCAATATTTTTTTAAATATCAGTGGACTAAATGCTCCAATCAAAAGACATAGGGTGTAAATCAACTATACCTCAATAAAAAATATTTTTTAAGACATAGGGTGTCTGATTGGATTAAAAAACAAGACCCATCTGTATGCTGCTTACAAGAGACTCACTTCAGAGCCAAAGACACACACAGACTAAAAGTGAGGAGATGGAGAAAGATATTTCATTCATGCAAACAGAAACGACAAGACAGCAAGGATAGCAACATTCATATCAGACAAAATGGACTTTAAAACAAAGCCTATAACAAAAGACAAAGAAGTGCATTATATCATTATAATATCATAATAATATAATACATGATGTTATATAATAATATCACTATATCATTATAAAAGGATCAATACAAGAAGAGGATATTACAATCATTAACATATATGCACCCAGTACAGGAGCACCTAAATATATAAAGCAAATAGTAACAGACATAAAGGGGAAAATTGACAAGAATACAATAATAGTAGAAGACTTTAAAACCCCACTTACATCAGTGGACAGATCATCAAGACAGAAAATCAGTAACACAACAGTGGTCTTAAATGACACAATAAACCAGTTGGACTTAATAAATACCTACAGGGCATTCCATCCAAAACCAGCAGAATACACATTCTTTTCAAGTGTACATGGAACAGTCTCCAGAACACATCACATGCTGGGCCACAAAACAAGTATCAGCAAATTTAAGAGGATAGAAATTATACCAAGCATTTTTTCCAAACACAATAGTATGAAACTAGAAATCAATTACAGAAAGAAAAATGGGAAAAGCACAAACGTGCAAGTTAAACAACATACTACTAAAAAACCAATTGGTCAATGAGGAAATCAAAGAGGAAATCAGAAAATACCTCAAAACAAATGAAAATGGAAACACAACTTTCCAAAATCTATGCAATGCAGCAAAAGCCATTCTGAGAGGGAAGTTTATAGACACAGGCCCACCTCAAGAAACAAGATAAATCTCAAATACACAACCTAACCTACCATCTAAAGCAATTAGAAAAAGAAGAACAAACAAAGCCCAGAGTCAGCATAAGGAAGGAAACAATAAAGATCAGAGAGGAAATAAATAAAATAGAGACAAAAAATATAAGAGAGAAGATCAATGAAAGCAAGAGCTACTTTTTTGAAAAGATAAACAAAATTGATAAACCTTTAGCCAGGCTCACCAAGAAGAAAAGAGAGGACCCAAATAAACAAAATAAGAAATGAAAGAGGAGAAATAACAACCAATACCACAAGATACAAAAAATCATAAGAGAATACTACAGCTATATGTCAACAAATTGGACAACCTAGAAGAAATGGACAAATTTCTAGAAACATACAACCTGACAAGATTGAATCAGGAAGAAATAGACAATCTGCATAAATGGATCGCTAGCAGTGAAATTGAATTTGCAATTTAAAAAAAACTTCCAGCAAACAAAAGTCCAAGACCAGACAGGTTCACAGGGGAATTCTACCAAAAATATAAAGAAGAATTTTACCTATCTTTCTCAAACTTTTCCAAGAAATTAAAGAGGACAGTAAACTCCCAAATCCATACTATGAGGCCACCTTTACCTTGATACCAAAACCAGACAAAAACACTACACAAAAGGAAAATTACAGGTTAATACTTTTAATGAATATAGATGCAAAAATCCTCAATGAAATATTAGCAAACTGAATCCTACAACATATAAATAGAATCATACACCATGATCAAGTTGGATTTATTCCAGGGATGCAAGGATGGTTCAATATTTGCAAATCAATCAATGTGATACACCACATTAACAAAAGGAAAGATAAAAATCACATGATCCTCTCAATAGACACAGAAAAGGCATTTGACAAAATTCCACATCTACTCATGATAAAAACTCTCATCAAAGATGGTATAGAGAGAGCATATCTCAACATAATAAAGGCCATTTATGACAAACCCATAGCTAACATCATACTCAATGATGAAAACCCAAAAGCATTTCTGCTAAAATCAGGAACGAAACAAGGATGCCCACTCTCACACTTGTTTAACATAGTATTGGAAGCCCTAGCCACAGCAATCCAACAAGAAAAAGAGATAAAACGTATCCAAATTGAAAGGGAAGAAGTAAAACTATCACTCTTTGCAGATGACATGGTATTTTATATATAGAAAACCCTAAAGTCTCCACTAAAAAACTATTGGAACTAATAAATGAATTCAGAAAGTTGCAGAATACAAGATCAATACAGACAGTCTGTTGTTTTCCCATAAATAATGAACTATCAGAAAGAGAAAGCAAGAAAACAATCTTGTTTAAAATTGCATAAAGAAGAATAAAATACCTAGGAATAAACTTAACCAAGGAGGTTAAAGACCTGTGCTCTAAAAACTATAAAACATCGATGAAGGAATTTGAAAATGATACAAAGAAATAGAAAGATATCCTATGTTCTTGGATTAGAAGAATTAATATTGTTAAAATGTCCATACTACCCAAAGCAATCTACAGATTTAATGTAATCCCTATTAAAATGCCCATGATATATTTCACAGAACTAGAACAAATAATCCTAAAATTTATATGGAACTACAAAAGACTCTGAATTGCCAAAGAAATCCTGAGAAAAAGAACAAAGCTGGAAGTAAGTCCCTGAGTTCAGACTACACTACAAAGCTGTTGTAATCAAAACAGCGTGGTACTGGCACAAAAACAGACACATAGATCAATGGAACAGAATAGAGAGCCCAGAAATAAACCCACACACCTATGGTCAATTAATCTATGACAAAAGAGACAAGAATATACCATGGAGAAAAGACAGTCTCTTCAGTAAGTGGTGCTGGGAAAACTGAGCAGCTACATGTGAAAGAATGAGATTCGAACATTTTGCCACACCTTATAGAAAAATATACTCAGAGTGGATTAAAGACCAGAAACAATAAAATTCAAACAATTTTCTTCAAACTACTTTTTCAAGTTATCAAATGTCCACGTTTGTCTTTGAGCTAACTTTATCTTTGTAGACTGTGAACATTTTTTCATCTTTTACTTATATATTTCATCACATGCCTATTAGTAGCAACTTTTTTGCCTATTAAAGGAATTTTTAATTTTTCTATTTTTATTTTGTTAGTTTATAATCACTTCAGTTAAAAGTGACCACATCTGGATATCTATCATTCTAGTGGTACAACTCTATAATCTGCTATATTATGACCATGACTAGGCATGTATCTCCATTGTTCAATAATAGGCAACTAAATTCTTTGATCATTGACATAACTTTAACACAGAAAAGAGAAATAGCTAAAATATATGTTTTTTAAATTTTTATTCCCAGGAATTCTTATTCTAAATGAACATCTATAATTAGATATAACATTACTAAAATTTTCATATATTTTTAAAAGGCCTTACAACTAGTCTTTTTCCAGAACCAAGTTTTTGCTGTTCAGTCTCTTGTCTTTTATCTGCATCCGTTGCAAAAGCAAGTACTTGGTATCTGTTTAAAAGATATGGAATAATTGTAAGTGACTTTATAGTTAAAAAGTGTAAATTATTTTAAACTTTAAAAACACATAATCTCGGTATAGCTAAAATTTTTAAATGCACATTATCTACAAACCTTACGAATAACCTTCCCCTTGATTTTAAAAATTGTAAAATTTAGTAATGAATTCATACTGAATGATACTGTGGCTTAAGACTATGTAAACCTGCAATGGTAAAGAAATTATAACCATATGTCCCAAAATTCAATGTTGGAAAAATAGCTCTGCCACATATCAAAGCATTTCCATTAGAAGTTTATGTGACAAAAACAATACTCAAGAAAGATCCAGCACCAAAACACAAAATAGAAAAAAATACAAATAATACAAAGCAACCAGACGACTTGTTGCAAACCCCCAAAAAAAGTAGTAGTAGAAATAGTAGAAATTATTAATAGATAATTTATGGACCCCAGAACACCTGAGTTTAATTCCCAGCTAAAGCATTAACTAGTTGAGAAAATTTTTTTTAATTAATCACTCTGTCTTATCTATAAAATGGAATAATAATCTCAAAGTGAAGCATTGTTAAAAGAATTAAAAAATAATTTAGTGCCTAGTACAGTATCTGGTATACACTACGTGCCCAATTATTGATTAACAGACTGACAAACACATAGACAGATACAGATTTATATATACATAGAGATAAATCACATAGTAATTTATCTGGTATGTAATAAGTTCTCAATAATGGACATTATAACTTTCTATAAGTATTTTAAAGCTTTTATTTCAATAGTAACATTTAACACAACATTGTAAATCAATTATACTTCAATAAAATAAATTTTTTAAAAGTTAAAAATTAAAAAATAGTAACATTTAGCTCAAATCATTCTTAAAAACAATTTATAAATATCATTCAATTTAGAAATGATTCAGACAATAAAGTTTAAATTCCCTTACTCACATTAATTTATGGTGTATTGTTAGAGTAATAATCCTACTCAAAATGAAGAAATTTTAGGCTCATAGATTCCTTTCCCTCTTTTTTTTTTTTTTTTTTGAAGTTTCTTACTTTTATTGTTGGTGCATATCTAGTTACATAGAGGAGATAGGGAAGGCTCTCCAAAAGGTAACACTTAGCAGAGAAAAGGTATTAGAAGGTTAACAAAAACATCTCAACAAATAATTAAGCCTTTCCCTCTTATTGAATCAAAACTTCTTACATTGCTCTTTGATAGCTAAGAGGAAAATTAGTAGGTAGATATATTCAGACATCTCATATTGTCTAAAGAAAGATGTCTGATAGTGTAAACATCAGGGACCTGAATAAATAAAGGCAATGCAGAATATCTAAACAAGTACCGAAATTTACACTGGTATTCAAATGTCATATACGAACTCTTTTTTTTTTTTTGCAGTACGCGGGCCTCTCACTGTTGTGGCCTCTCCCGTTGTGGAGCACAGGCTCTGGATGCGCAGGCTCAGCGGCCATGGCTCATGGGCCTAGCCGCTCGGCGGCATGTGGGATCCTCCCGGACCGGGGCACGAACCCGTGTCCCCTGCATCGGCAGGCGGACTCTCAACCACTGCGCCACCAGGGAAGCCCATATACCAACTCTTAAAGCCTTCTATTTCAATCAGCAATACTTAATTTGTAAAAAGTCTCCAATTTTCAGTGAATGCAGAATGACTATGAATTAAGATCAATTTTGCAATGCATTCATGAAAATTACAGTTAATAAGAAAGCTTAATGTATATAAAGTTCATTCATTCAATAAACATATAGTAGGGATCTCATATAAGCATTAACAAGGGGGAAAACTACTACATGACCTATATCCACCAGGACCTTCCAAAGTAGTTGTGAAGATTCATATACAAACAAGTAAGTGTAACTCAGAGTGCCCTGTGCTAATAGAAGGTATGCATATAAGTACCACGGGAATATGATCGCAGGAACAGGTAATTGGGGTGGAGGAAATATATATGTTCTTGGTATCAGTTCAGGAGGAGAAAGCTAGGTTTTGAAAAATGAGTGAAAACTCATCATGCTGTTAAAGAGGTAAAAGGCATTATGGCAAAGCAAACAGCACATGCAAAGGCATGCAGCAGTAAAAGAGGCATGAAAGGCCATGGCAGGAGTTTAGGAGAGATGCATGGCGGAGAGGAATGAGTCATGGGAAATGAGACAAAAAAGGGTAGGAGGCTGAAGATCTCGGCCTTGTAAAATCATGCTAAAAAATCCCATAGGTAGCTGCAGCAAATATCTCAACACCATCTGAGACTGACCTTCAAAATCCCTAACTCTCCAAAAAATTAGACCTCATAGTTCAACCTCCAAATAAGATTGCTTTACTCTCTCTGGTTCATGGTAACAGAAATTAGTATGCACTAGTGACTGGAACATCAGTCCAGAGCTGGTCCTGCAAATGGATCTAACCTTGGGCAATTAATTACATAGACCATTCATTTCCTGCAGACACCAACCTACCAGAGGATGATATGGATATTAATGAGATTGTTGCTATATCCAAAGATTTTGAGCTGTTTGAAGCTTCTTATATAACTAAAAAGAGTTATTATTTCATGTGAGGCGTAAGTGAACCCCTAAAGTGGCCTTATTAACATCAAAACAGCAGGCACAGACACAGCCAAAATTGACTCCTGATTTCTAAATCCAGACCAATTCTCTTCCCAGAAGACAACTCAGAAGAGTATTTTATTACTAAACGTAACTGACAGTAAATTTAGATGATGACAAACTTACAACAGCATGTATTTTATGATTCTTCCTTAAATTCTCTTAACTGTGACCAATAATGTACATGGAAATCTGTTTCCAAAACCAAACAATTCCAAGCAGACTTGGAATTTCTGAAATAAAGAAAACACTTGGATTTTTTTTTCTTATCGCTCAAGTGTTCCGTGATATAAGCTAAAGAATAAAATTCCCTTGTTGGAACTGCTGAAAGAATAATCAGGTCCAATGTAAAAAGATTTAATGAAAGAGTGTCACATGTGTTTTTCAGAACAGAAAGGGCACTAATCACAGATACAGCAAGTCCAGGTGAACAGTGGTACTTTTTGAACCAATAGCCACAAACGCTTAACAGGTCCTGTGGAATACCAATGACAAACTCAACCGTATAATTTAGTGCTCCTCTGTATCACATCGTAAAAACAGCAGCAAGTAACTAAAATATGGATTGAGGTGTCACCGAACACAAAAGTAAATCCTCTAAAATCATTTATTTTCAAATGAAAAATAGTTGTCACCTCAAAGTGTACCAGGAGATTTGGGAACTTTGATACTTAACCTGCAGAACTCTACTAGAATTGGAGGCTCTGGATACAGAGCATTACTACATTCATTCCAGCTATAGTTAAAACATTCTTGATTATGCCTGGGAGAATCATTTTCATTGGAAGATGCCAGTAACAAAATAGGTTTCCTCATAAACTTTTCATTCCTTCATTAAGATCTTGTTAAACATCTACTTTCAGCAAGGTACAATGCTAGGCACTTCAGGGGATACAAAATCCCTGCTATCAAGGAACATTTAGCCCAGTCAAGGAGAAAAACAAGTAAATGTCGTATCAGTGAAAGCATGAATAGTGCTTATGGAAAGCAGTGAAAAATTACTCTGTGAATTGAGAAGAAGGAGTTGTTACTGACAGCTACGTCAGGCAAGATCTGAATGGGGAGCAGGGAGGCTTCCAGACCTAATTTTCATTCACAGAAAAGGAAGGAAGAGCATTTCAGACAGAGTACAGCATGAGCAAAAGAGGAGAGAGAAAGAGAGAAGCTCTGAATATATATGAATAACACCAAATATTTCAGTTTGGCAAGAGCCTAAGGCTGGTGAAGAACACAATCCTCTTTTTAAAATACTATCCATTAAATTCAACAAACAGATTTTAAAATACTGACTTAAAGACTATTGTCTACTTAGCAATGTATTAATATTAGGAGCCACTGTAGGGGTACAGGGGAAAGTGTATAGCAAACAGGGGAGAAAGATAAAACTCCTGGCAAGTGTACTTCTTCCGGGAGCCTCCTTACATTCAACTCTTATTGAAAGGTATCACCTCTAGGCTTCTCAGTTTCCTGTGCACAGTGCTGCCATAGCCAGTATCACAATGAACTGAAGTAGCTGATTGACTTGCTACCTCCCCACTTGCTGGCATACTGCTGGAGGACAAGAGACAGGTCTTATCTGGCTTTGCATCTCTAGTGCTTTGCACAGTGTGTGGCACAGAGAAGCCTCTTGAAAAATGTTTGCTGAATGAATGACTGGACCAATGAACTGAATTACTCCTTTAGTGAACAGGTATTTAAAACAGATCCTGCTCTCAGGAACCTGATAATGTAAGACATACTCTGGAACATTTTAGCACAATACAGAAAGCAAATATGATATTGGGCAAAAATCAGTGTGTTGGGCAATAATATATCTAGGAGGTTAAAAAAAGGAGGATATTTAAACCAGTTAATTTTAAAAGTCCCTTCCAAATCTGAAAGTTCACTTAACAGAGGTAAAATGGGACTGGAGCATAAAGAGCACTGAATGTCATATGAGAAGATTTAGATTTTTTAATGGACAACAAAAATTATTCTGGCATAAAGAGGTGTTTTAAAAGAATAGCTATGAGAAAGGCCCTTCAAAGTCTACATTAGAGGTTAAAAAAAACAAACAAACAGAAATCCAAGTGAAAAGATAAAGGTCTGAATGCCAGTGGGAATGGGAAGCAAGGGCTGAATAAGAGAAAAAAAAAAGGTAGAAAGGTCACGATTTACTGACTATATAATTCTGACAAGCAAAGGAAAGAAAAAGAGAATAAAAGATGATCCAAAGTTTGTACAAATGTGGCCAAGGGAATGGCCCACAGCCCCTCCTCTACCAAAAAAAAAAAAAAAAAAACTCTCACTTCAAAAGAAAAACAACACTCAAAGTATGTCCTGAATTAGAACCACCTGGGGTGTGTATTTGTGATGATTTCTGGGTCTTTTCCCCAAACCTACTAAATCAAAATCTAAGGGGTTGGGGATTAAGAACGTGCAAATGTGCATTTCATAAAAGGATGCTCAGATGATTCTTATGCACACTAAAGTTTGAGACTCATAGCCTTCTCTAGTTCCTATTTGAACATAATTGATCTGTTTTTAAAGTAATTAAACATCAATATCAAAAATGAAAATGAATTATGTCTTAAAAGCCTTTTCTATTAACTGATTATATTTTTAACTGATTATAAATAGATTTCATGAAGTCTCCAAAAACCAAACTTACAGTTTTCCTGCTTTCTCCCATCCTAAATTACACCTGTGATTACCATTTAATCTATTAAAGTTGAAAGTATATATAAATACAACATACTACTCAATGTTATAAACCCTCTTGATTGTCATCATTTCACAATAATCACATATCCCATGCATTTTTACCATTTTAAAAGATCCACATAATAAATAAAGTGTGCACTTTTTTAGTCTTAGATGGAGATGAATTTAATAGATCAGTATGTTGGAGAATTACCACAGTTAAAACAGTATGAGTTTCTGAGATTAAACCTTCACGTTAAGGAAACCTACACATTGTTTTCTCATCCAATCACTCCTGGAGTTATTACCAAATTAATTCCTATTCCCATATTTCAAAGAGTAAGTCATGGAACATTCACATCTTTGTATCATGACCCCAGTGTAACACTGCTAGTATCACCCTACTTGGCAAGAACTGGGTGGAAAGGTGAAAAGCAGATCTTCTCAATATTGCTTAAGTTTTGGCAGGATTGAATGAATTATACAGGTATTTTTCCCAGCTTCTCATAATAATTATGATATTTTATTTATTAGCAGTAGCAATGCCACAACTCACTCATCTCCTTTGGACAAGCGCCATAGGAGTTGTAGGATGAATATGACATAATGATACCCTACCTCCATCAGTTAACTTCTGCTTAGTCACAAACATTTGCTTATTTTCAGAGTTTTAAATCCTCAGTGCCTCAACAATAATTCTCAGAATGTAGATTGTCACTTATTAAGAGAAAACTACATTAACTTGCAATATACACAATAATAAAACTTGAAGGCAAAAATTTACATCTGTTGCCTGATGAATTTATATTTTCTTCCTGCCTTGGGAAAAATCATGTGGCCAAAAATAATACTGAAAGGCTATAATGAAGTGTTGCTTAGATGTTTAAAGTTCTAAATGCTGCCATCAGTAAGATAACAACAATAAAGTTACTTAAAATATTATAATTCTCCAAGTCTATTTCTTTTCCCAGAATGGATTTCTACTTCTTTTCCCATTCTCCCTTCCAATAAAAAACACAGCCTCCAAAAACTCAAAACCATAATTTTTATTGAAATTTAGCTGGTAGAGAAGAAAACGGTCTCTCTGAAACACAATTCACCAAAATCAATATGAATTTCTAGCAAAAAGTATAAGCTGTTTTCATAGGGTCATTTTCATACTTCACTTCTGTAAGCTGTTCTTTTAAAAACATTCATAAACACACTTGTATTTCTTGCCAGTATTCTTCCTATGTCATATACATTTTTTTTGTTATAAAATCATTCTATATATGTATTTGTACCTAGCTTTTTTTCACTCAGACTGTGTTTTATTATTTATAATTCAAGGAACAATCGCAATAATTATTGAGCATTTTCTATGGGGTGGTAACTTGACATACACTTAATTCTTTTAACAAATTTGTCGAAATAGATGTTATTACCTCCTTTACATTCAGGATAAGGACACTGACCATCAAACAGCTGTGAGTAGCAAAATCAGGACTCCAATCCAGGTGTGCCTCTCTCCAAATCCTTCCTCTCAATCTGTGCACTATACTGCCTTTCAAATGTTTTATGATATGTAAATGATATCCTCTAAGTCACCACAATTACATTTTATCAGAGAAACCACTCTCTTTTTCATTTGCAATATTCAAGCTCTTTGTGGATAAGAAATTATCAGCAGCATACACATAAAAACCATGATTCCAAAGATTCAAGATCCAAACTTACTTGTAACTTTCCACTTGTCGGCAGGATGAAACAGTAATGAAGGAATCTGTACGGGAACTGTAAGCAAGAGGGCCAGGTAAAAGAGAACCAGGGAGAAATCTCCCAAAAGCATAGCTCTCCTGCTCAAACACCATCAGCATTCCATCCATAGACTGGATACAAATTAAATCGCGACCTAAAGAAGAATTAGAGGAAATTAGGTAACTTATTCTTTTTATGAATGTAATGATTTTATCACTATTCACCACAAATATGTCAGTTAACTTTTTCCCCAAGGGACAAAATGGGCAGTTTAAATTTTAAATCTCAAACTGATGAAGCTATAAGATTATTGTATATCACTATCTACACATTTCCCAATTTTTTCATTATTCATAATATGTCTATAGTTTTAAATACATTTATTTTCATTTATTTGAGCTAAAATCCGTAGCTCAAGAGAATACCTGAGAACAATCATGACTCTGCAAGATATCATTTTTTCCAAAATCAGAAATATAAACGGTTCTACACGATGCCTTCTCTTCTTCATAGTATGTCAGCCCCATACTTTCAAATGACTTGGACATCAGTCAAACATAGCAGACCAAATCCATAGACATGTATTAAGCACCAGTTTTATACAAATCACAGTGTTGAGCACCGTTGGGAGAGAAAATGACTAATACCGAATAACACTAGTCACTGATTGCCCTAAACTATCGATTGATTTTGAAGTGTCTTCTACTATTAGTCTGTAAACATTAACTACAAAATTCACAGTTCTTAAAATATACTGAGATGATGATAATGATGATGATTTCTATGGTACAATATAGTATCCCTAATCTGAGAAAGATCTAGTGGCTATAACTTTTCATGTTCTGCTAGTGTGATTAGTGTATCCTATAATCTATTATATAGGGAAGAACTATGTCAAAGAAAAGTTAAGCTACTCATTAAGAGAATAAACAAAAGGTCAATCTTCTAATTAATATTTCATCTCTAACCCATACTTACCATATACAGTAAGTCGTGTAGTAACTATTTTATTTTACCTTGGATATCAGTGCCAATACAGTTAACCCTAAATTTTGAAATTTAAAGAATACTTTGCTCAAAAAGAAATTAACTTGCATAGAAATGGATGGTAGTCTTATTATTGTATCTGAGTATGGATATAAGGGCAATTTTTAAAAATGAAAATATGTTGCCAAAGGAGTTTTTTTAAAAAGAAAACAAACTGAGACCTTTGGGGTGCTTATTACTGCAACATACTCTATCCCATCTTAATTGATTCAATACATTTAACAACTTTAAATAGTCTCAGAGATGTTTCAGGTTGAATATTGTCTTAGCATATATTCACAAAATACACATCTGAACCACTCTGGGATCACTAGAGAGAAAGGGATTGTTCATGTTAATGCTGTTTTGAAGAGTATCCCCTCAAAGCTCAAATTCTTTTATAAGGCATAGTAGGTTTTTCAGTCATTGTTTTAAGCTTTTAAAATCTATTCTTTATCTACTATGCTTATTAAAGTTTTCATAAAACAAGATATGAGTTTGTATGGATGTTGTATGTATACACATGCGTACAAGTGTATTCACAGAGATATATTCAGACAAAGAGTACCTCATCTATCCAGAATTTAACTATATAGCAATCTTCCTGTCTGTACCAAGCAAAAATGAAAAAGTATAAATATGCCTCTAAATAGTCAAAATAGATGCTTCAAAGTCTTTGTAATGAAAATCATGCAAACTTTTTACAGGTAGGATTCCCAGGTCTCACTCAGGGCATCGATTCTTATTTTAATTATGGTTCGAACAGTTGCAGTTCTCATGAACAAGTTACTGATATTCCAGGAGCTTCAGCCTCCTCGTTTATAAAATGAGTATATTTGCCTAAGAGCTCCAAAGTTAGAGATAAGATTTAATAGTCTCTAACACTGTGTAGCACACATAAAACACAATAAATCATAGCATCATTATAATGGTTATCATTACCTGCTTCCCCAGCCCAGAGAAAAGAAAATAGCAAATTAGAAAAGGTATGAAAACACTGATAGCTGTGAGCAGTGACAGCTATGCCCCAACAAAAAAGAAGACAACAGGAAATCTATAAAATATATATCAAATAATTCAAAAAAGAATAACAGGGCTCAGCTTAGAAGCAATTACTAGCCCTATATATGTCAAAAAGAGAAATGTCATATTATAATGTACTAGTAGCTATTAAATGGATTTAATACAGTTTAGCATAGTTCAGTCATTTGCAAAAACAAACTTGTGGCCGAGATGCTAACGGCTCCCCCTAAGAGCCATTCTTTCTTTTGGTACTTGAATTATCACTAGACTCATGGCCATCCAGTTAGAATAAAGCCTATATCTCCAGGCCTCTGTGACAGATACATCATATGAGTACTTTCTCGCCAATGAGATGGGAGCAGGGTGATATGTGCAACACCCAGACTTACCCTTAAAAGGACTGAGTATGCACTCCCTTCCCCTCTTCCCAGCATGATGGTAGGGCTGGAACAGCTATCTTGGCCTCAAAGATAGAAGCCACATATTGAGAACAACAGAGCTGCCTACCAGTCCTGGACCACTTTATCTCCAGGTGGTTAAATCTGACAGAAATAAACATCTTCTTTAATTAAGTTTGGTCTTTATTAAAGCAATGAAACTTATATCTTAAATAACACAGAACTTATCTGAGCATAAAGATCCATCCAGCTTTACTGACTCTTAAAATTTAATTTCACTTGATTGGATCCTGATACCAAAAAACAATCAGATATAGAAGACATTGGGACAACTGGGGAAATTGGAATGTGACTGCATGCTAGATAACATTAGGAAATTATTTTTAATTTTCTTAAGTGTAATTATGGTATTGTGATTACATATGAGAATGTTCTTATCAGGAAATATGTTCTGCAATAGTTATGAGTGAAGTGGCATAAGATCTGTAACTTACTTTCAAATGGTTCACCAAAAAAAAAAACAGTGTGTGTATACATGTATATACATTTACAACTGTTGACTCTAAATGGTGGAAAAATGGACATTCATGTTACTTGTTCTGATATTTAAATTTTTTCACAATAAAAATGTAAACAAATAAAATAAAGTGTTCAAATATATTCCTTTAGTATACAAATACACTTTTTTAACCACCAAGGAGGGAACTGAGCACTAGTAAATTGAGCAGGACTTAGGAGGAAAGCAATAAATCTAATCTTAATAAGTTAAGAATCAGAGACAGAAGAAATCCAAACAATGAAACACATGCAATGACCTTGACCTATGGGGGAGGATATTACTGTAACCAAAATATACTCTCTGTATTATTAAAGAATGTGAGGTCAAGGCATGTATACTTCCAAGCAGAAGTACAATAACATTTGAGTTCATTTCAATATGTTGAATATCTCTGAACCACAAATCTTCCAGTCTCCCAAAGACCTTAAAGAAGTTGTCCTCAAAGTGTGGTTCCCAGACCACCAGCATCAGCATTGTCTAGGAAATTCTTAGAAATGAAAATCCTAGGGTCCCACTCTATACCTATGGAATCAGAAACTATGATGATAGGGCCCAAGTCTAGGTTTTAACAAGCCCTAGAGGCTATTGGATGCATGCTAAAGTTTGAGAACTACTGCTTTCGCATGGTATGACAAAGAGCTAGAGCTTGAAGAAAACTTGAGCCCCAGAGAACACTTGGCTCCTTAGCATGATATATGAAGTCTTCTTTCCTGAAACTCTAGCAATATAGGGGAGATATAACCCCACATGGGCTGCCTCTAGAGTCAGATAATCTGAGTTTGAGTCTAGTTCAACCAATTATTAGCTGTGAATTTGGGCTCAAGTTTCCTTATCTGCAAGATGGTGTACCTAACTTAGCTGTTGTGAGAATTAAATTAAGTAATGTACGGAAACTAGATCCAGCAGGTGTTAAATACTGCATCGCATTATTATTTTATAATTATTTTCTAAGTCTCATACTAAATGTTGTATTAATATTTAACTACTTGCTGTTTCCCACATACATTGTAATGGTGCATACTTCCTTGCTTTTGTTTATGTTATTTCCTTTCCAAAAAACTTCTTACACTTTTCTTCCCCTGGGATAGTGAACATTTGCTGGATGCCTCCTGGTCATCCATTGCCCTCTCCTCCCATCTTTAGCCATGAGGCTTGAATGAGACTGACTTCATTCTAAGCTTGAGAGTAGGTAGGCCCTGACTTACATAAACTAATTAGTATCCCACTAGTCACAGTGATTAGTTAAGGGATGGTTATAATTTACAGCCAATGAAAGAAACTAAATCCCTAAACTGAGCTGAAACTAAAGAAAAACTTACTCTTCCCCCTGGGGAGTAATATGTGAGGAGGATAAGGTCTGGAATCACAGAAGCCATTAGGCTTTTACAAGGGTGTAGTTAAGAGAGGGCCATGGAAGACACTGTTTAAGCCAGTGCATCAAGCCGCACTTGGAGCCAAACCTATCCATGGACTTTATAGGCAATAAATTCTCATAAATATTGAAGCTGAGTTGGCTCTCTGTCCCTGAATCAAGTGCATCAACCCATTTGTCCTCTGAGAGACATCACAGACTGAAGCTCATGTCTTCCCAGAAATCTTCTCTTTCCCTTCAATTACCCTCCATCTGTGATCCCACAGAGCCCCATCCTTACCTTCATCTTACAACTAATCACTGATTGAAATTAACTGTTTTTGTGTCTCTCATTATCCCTAGCTTAAACTCAATGGCAAGAAGGTATATCTTATTCATCTTTGTAAATCCAACAATTAGAAAATGCCTGGCGCATAGGAGACACATTAATAAATGTCTGTTGAGCTGAAGTAAGCTAGGCAAAATACTTTATTCATCTGCAGCTCAGATTGGCTGAGACTTTATTATATGCAATTCACATACTGCATTTTTAAGTACATGAAAAATGCTTTATTTATTACAATCCTAGCCACTGACGATTAGAAAAATGTAGGTATCAATCCAAAACATTACTCAAAAATAAATAAATAAATCCTTCAAATCACTGTATTGGAAGCCACTTCAGAATACATACCAAAGGCTCCCCTTACTGATAATGAGAACAGAAAGAACAGTCCAGAGAAGCCATGAAAGTTTTGTAGTTCTAATAGAACAGAGCCAACAGGAAGACTTCATAA